CCATAAATGTGTGGCACTTTCACTCTGTTCCGTTCAACCCAAACCAGCTCGATGGGGTTTAAGTCTGGAGACTGGGCTGGCCACTCCAAGTTTTCAAGCTCACCATCTTGTTCTTTTTTCCTGAGGTAGTTTTGGCAGAGCTTGGACTTGTGTTTTGTTATCGTTTATCTTTTTTTTTTACCTCTGGCTGTTCTGTACTTACTGTTGTACAATTTCAAGCTTTTCATTAGACTTGCACGACTTGAATTGCCATAAATAACTGGAAAAATTAGGGTGTTCTAAAACTTTTGGGGAGTAGTGTATACTGACAATGACAGTGCACCATTAACCAAACCAAAGTCAGTCCAAAGAAATTCACTTATGCCTTAATAACTCATTCATATCAGAAGTGTAACAAAGCAGGTTTTAGACTCCACTTTTCCTCATTGCTCCAATCCATTCACAATATAACATTCACACCGTAAAATGCAGTGGGTACGAGTCTGTAGCGACCTCCTAAATAACAGGGTCAAAGGTGAGATTGGTGTTCTGCTGTGGGAACTCTGGTTACCTGAGAGAGAGTCGAGGTACAGTCTCCCAACATACCACATGCACCGGCTCAAAATACCAAGAAATGTACTGTGACCTCTCAAGCACTTAACGGTTCTACATAATGCAAAACTGACTCTTGTGAGCCTTCAAGTTAGAATGCTGTTATCTCTTCAAAAACTGGAGTTGCGTTTTGTTTCATTCACACATGAGTTCTTCTCTCAAACAGAAAACACTCTGTTCCACCATGTGATGTTGTGGTAATATTGAAAGCACTCCATTGTGTTTTAAAAATCCATACAACTTCAATAACTAGAATCATTTTGATCATTTTAGCCCCAGAATTGACAATTGTTTGAATAATCGTGATTTCAGTATTGACCAAAATAATTGTGATAATGATTTTTTCTATAATCGAGAAGCCCTAATTCACACATCTTTGAGTAACCCTTTATTATTACTCTGTTTACATCTCCAAAGCTCAGAATGCTCTGTTTTACCTTGTGAGGTCATGAAGTGGTAGCTTTCAAGTTAACAGCTACCTTTTTACCTTTTGTTCTTTATTACACAAGGCATTTATTCAGCATTTCTCTCTCCAAAAAAACAAACAAAAAAACCCCCACTTTGTTACTGATAATTTACGCAAAACTTTGTAGCCTATATTTATTTTCAATTTTATTTTCAATTTTTTTATTTTCAATTTGAAAATAAATATAGGCTGCACAGCTTTGCACAAATATCTACCTTAGATTGTGAGGTTTCTTATTTATTTGTAAAGCTTCTTTGAGTGTCCAAAAAAGTGCTATATAAGTCTTATTATTTAAAACATAAAATTAATAAAATATACTTTTGTACATGGAATAAGGCATAGAAAAACATAAATGCATCCAAAATAAACTATATATTCAGCTCTTCTACAATCTCTTTATTTAAAACTTTGTTAAGCTTTAAATCGTTCCATCATTCTGATTATATGAGTTTGGAGATCGTTTGACACACAAACAGAAATCGCAATCAAAATTCAATTATGTGCACAGCCTTAGTGTGACTGAAACAAAACAACTTCAAATTTGCATAATCAATTGCCCTAACACTATATAGTATCCTGGAGAACCTGGACTTCTTTATGTTTAAGTATCTCCGGCGTCCCCATAGCTCGTGTCTGGCAGGTGCGTGTTTACACAGAGCTTAGAGCAGCCATTGTGTCAACATCAGCTCTGTTCTACATTGACACACTCGGAAACGCCAATCTAGCAGCTCATTAGGCACAAACTCACCATGAAGAGACCAATGAGACCAGCAAACAGCCCACCACCTCCACTATAACTGAAAATACCACTGTGCTTCTGTCTCAGCCTCCCACTGAAACTGCCCTGGCCTCTGTACACGAATGGTGTTTAATCAAAATACACACATCTACAAGTCTTAAACTGGGGGAGAGTCACTACGGAGGCTGTCATTACGCGCGCCATTAAAACACAGCAGTGGGCTAATCTAGTACCTCCGTGAGGGACAGAGCCGACAGCAGACGGAGGAGAGCGGACAAGTTGGAAGGAAGATTTAGAAGACAGGAGCAGATGGGTGCAATGTTCAGCAGTTGGTAAATGCATAGTTAGGGCTACAACTTGTGTTTATAGTGATGTTTAAAGGGCCAGTATTACGCTATTTTCTGATCTATGTTATAATGTTGTTTCCTTATCAAAAACATACCTGGAGTTGTGTTTTGTTTCATTCACATGTTTTCATTCACACATAAATTGATTTGTTCTCTCACGCTGAAAACACTCTGTTCCACCTTTTGATGTCATGTGGTAATACAAGAAGTGCTCCACTGTGTTTTTAAACTCCATGCACATTCACTACAATTATGTGGATCATTTCAACCCTGGAATTTCCAGTCTGTACTACACAAAAGATAGCGGTTAACTTCAAAACTACCTCTTCACTCTTCATAACATCACAAGGTGGAGCATAGCATTTTGAGCTTTGGACATGTAGACACACTAATAATTAAAGGATTCATTTTATGTAATATAGGACCAAAGATATACTCAAGAGGATCATATAATGTACCAGTACAACTAAAGGTAAAAGATAGCTGTTAAGTATAAAATTACTGCTTCATGACATCACAAGGTGGACCAGAGCATTTTGAGCTTTGGACATGTAGACACACTAATAATAAAAGGATTAATTTTATGTAATATGCGACCTAAAATATACTCAAGAGGCATCGTGTAATGTACCACTACAACTAAAGGTAAAAGACAGCTATTAAATACAAAACTATACCTTCGTGACATCACAAGGTGGAGCAGAGCATTTTGAGCTTTGGAGATGTAGACAGACTAATAATAAAACAATTGATTTTATGTAATATACGCCCCAAGATATACTCAAGAGGATCGTACCACTACAACTAAAAGGTAAAAATATAACTATAAAACTACAGCTTCATGACATCACAAGGTGGAGCATTTTGAGCTTTGGAGATGTAGACAGACTAATAATAAAGAATCACTCAAACATGTATGTAATAAAACAGAACACGGTTGCGGTCAATGCAAGCTCAACAGCAGGAGCACAGGTTACAGCCAAGGGAATACTGGAAATATGGCAACACTACACAATAATAGCTGGCTATGAAAATGAAACTGTTATTATATATACACACGATAGTTAAATTTCACACAATAAAGCAGGTAGTTCAGAACAAGCTATAAATACAATAAAATACACTTGTCACAATGTGATAATGTGTACTACCTGAAATACAAAGCCATTTTTTGTTAGATAAAAAGTGAGGCTATCTGTATTTATATGTATGGGGTGGTCATAATTACAGCCTTGCACAGAAAGAGAGATGGAGACAGTTGAAGTAGCACAAATGGCAGCACGAAATAAACATGGCATGAGAAGACACTGCAAAGAGAATAGCAATATATTGGGATTGGAGGTTGAAAAACGCAAATCCATGTGATCTTTGTGCGGCAGAAGCTGTATATAGGGGACTGACTAAGCAAAGGCCAGGGCTATTGCGTTTTTGATGGACTGCTATAGATAGATAGACAGATAGATGGAGAGAGAGGAGTGGATTTTGGAGAGGGGCTCGAGCGGTGAGGCTGGGACTGTGTGAGGATGTAAGCACACCACAGCGGGATGCTCAACCACTCTGCACCTGTGAGCTATAATTATCATTTGCTTTGAATGAACAGGACCTACTACATATGGTAATGGAGCTGAGAGCCTGGAGACAGAGAGGGAGGGAGTTTGGACACTTTAAGTAAAACATGACAAGCAATAATAAGGCGATATATTCTACAATACATATCTAGCCTATACAATTTACTAATAATGTGCTATGGTGACATGGTTTATAATGTGATGACAGCAGCAGTTAACAGCACCAATTTACTTCTGCACCATTTCCCTATAGCGTAAAAGGTGCATAATGTAACTTTTCTGGTAGAGGGTCGGCCACCTGCTTGTTTCCACGGAGATAGGGCTGCCTTGTCTGGAATGTTCCACTGTATGGCATTAAGATGATCTCACAGTGAAGACAAGTTCCAAGTAATGTCTGTGAAGATGCAATCCTGAATTTGGAGGCTATAAAAATGCCCAGAATGAAATCAGTTCTGGATAGATGTTTAATGCCATAATTTGGAACATTTCCCCCAAAGCAAACAGTAACATCTCAGCATATACAAGCAAGGAGAAGATCCTCCTCAATGAAAGTTACATAGTGCACCTTTACATTTGGACTATATGTGTGGTTTTAATTAACACTTTTTAAAATATTTGCCATATCTTGAACACACAGGAATATTGTTAAAAACCGTATAATACAGGGTGACCATATTTTCTAAATCAAAAACTGGGACTCCCCTGGTTTTTGGTGATTGGGAATAATAATAAAATTGTGAAACGAGTGAGTAATTTTAGGAAATTGTTATGCACTTGGCCCGTTCATGACTTATTCAGGATTAGTGAGTCAGTACAGTCACATTTTCTTAGTGTTTTGGTCATTTTTAAGCAGCTTTTCTGTATTTTGCTTAAATAAATGACAATTTATGCCTCTCTTGACTGTTGGCAGGGATCAGACTGGTCAAAATAGGGACAACAGGGACATTTCTTGTATAAAACTGGGACAAATCAGTGGTTTTGGATAAATCTGCTGGGACAGGGGACACAGGGCTCAAAAATGGGACTGTCCCTGGTAAATTGGGACGTTTGGTCACCCTACTATAACATATATATATAAAGACTCGACTATGATATCTTGATCTGCTACTTTAGTAAGATTTAACAAACCTGAAATTTCCCTACATTTATCTGCGTAATCTGAACTTCCCAATAACATCCTGAAGTAACCAACATAAGTACGCGCAAGTTTCCCCTGCTCACTTGCCCACTGAGTCTCATCTGAGCAGCCAAGTGGTCCCCTGTCTGTGGGTCCGGCCGCGTGCACCTACCTTCAACTGCGCACACAGAGCTGGTCACCCAAAGCAGCAGGACAGCCGCCCTCGTGGTCCGCGTGGCCACCGTCACTCCCCTCCGGCATTCCCCCATTCTGATCCGGGCTCACAAAATATCCCAATGAAATCCTGATATTCCTCCGTCTGGCAGTCACATCGCAGCGGGCACAGGAGAGACACACACACCGGCACAGTTTGCGCGGAATGGGATGGGACCGAAGCCGGTGGATCGTCGCTCTCTCGTCCCCCTCTGGTTCTTTACACCTTGCGGGCCAATCAGAAGAGAGAACGCCGGATCGTAAACCAATCACCCGTGCTTTCCACCTGACCCGTGCCAAAAGCCCAACAGACCGCTATCCCCCCGCCCTCGGTCCACGGGCCAAGCGTACTGCCACAGCGACACCCAGTGGTCAACAGAGGAACAGACGGCTTTGAGGTTTAAGTCAGGTGAGGCGAAATCATAAATTCTATGTCAAACTACTTATTTATTTACGTCTCAGTGGTTCTGTCAATATTTGCCTTGTAAACTAAAACAAATAAAATAAAAAGTCTCTCAGAAGTCACTCAAGGTAAGGTACTTTCTTCGTTTACACAAATCTGTGGTTGTTTACCCATGAATCGATTGTAATGTTGACTACAGACATGATGCACATAATGAGGAGTGTGGGTAGAGTAGCCAGAATTGCACAGAAGCAAGAGTTACTTGCTTCTACTCAAGTCCAAGAAACTACTCAAGTAAGAATAAAAAAAAGTACCTGGAAAACTACTATTACTACTCAAGTTAAAGTAGGATAATTGTTCAGAGTAAATGTCTGGATGAAACATTGGATATAAGTAGGGATGTAACAACAACCAAAATATCGTGATATCTTATCGTCAAAAGTCTCACAGTAATATCGTGGACCATTACAATATATCGAATTACAAGTGTCTTTGCTTAAATTAAGAGTTATGGTGCAGCAATAGCTAAAAAAACAGAGGGAACTACATAAACCATGATCCTTTGCTCCCTTACCGTGTAGACTACATGAAGAAATAACAGTTCTAAGCACTTTTAAGTCTTAGTTCTTTGGATTAAGTCTTGTCAAGGCATTTTAAGAGGAAAAAGTAGCGTATTAACACTTTTAGCTGTTCAGCCTCCACAAAATATCACAATAAATATCTTACCGTGAGATGTATATCGTGAAAATATTGCTCATACCAAGAGATTTGGATATTGTTACATTCCTAATCGTTAGCCACCCCACCATATCGTGAGCTTTCCCACGATATCGCAATAAATATCATACCGTGAGATTCATACTGTGACGATATGTTATCGTGAGACTTGGATATTGTTACACCCCTAGATATAAGTTTAAAAAAAATAAAGTAACAGAAAGGACAAAAACATGAAATAATCTACAAAATCTGGTATTTTCAAAAGATAGACCTCAAAAATGAGAAAACAAAATCATATTTGAAGAAGCAGTGCAAGAGACACAAATGTTCAAGTTTTTGTCCCTTGTAGACTTGCTCGCAGTGGGAAGAGTGACAAAAACTTTGGAAACAGTTCAAAAACAACTCTTGAGAAGTGCAGTTTCTTTCAGAGGTTACTCAAGTAAAAGTAACTGAGTAAACGTACCCATATTTGGCTCAATGTACGAGGCGATGCTGCACATTGAAGATATTAAAGGGCCCATATGACGCTGTTTACTGATCTATGTTATAATGTTGTTTCCTCATCGCAAACATAACCGGAGTTGTGTTTTGTTTCATTCACACATTTTTAACACACAAACCCTGCATATTTAGGCTTCTAGTTCTTCTCTCAAACAGAAAACACCCGTTCACTAGAATCATCTGGATGATTTCAGCTCTGGAATTCCAATATCTACTGATCAACATGTGTGAATGAAACAAAACACAACTTCAGGTCTGTTTATGATGGCATTAAACATTATAACATGGCTAAAAGCTCACATGATTCAATTTTATGTAATATAAGACCTTTAATAAATGCTGAAAACAAGAAAGATGTTACAAGTTCAGTAAATTACCCTTCACACCATTATCAAAAACACCGTTATTGATCATGTTTGTGCATATTTCTTGAAAAACATGGACTGTCACATCACCTCATTTTACCTTTACACTATTTTAGGCAAACCTGTGAAGTTGCCAGTGTGATTCATACCATGACTGTAGCCACTTCATCTTTGGCTGTGAGAGGTAATTAAACACAACAAAAACACTGCACTAATCAATGTAACACAATCCACTGGTCACATTTGATTATCCTTGTCTACAGTGTTAAGGCTAAATCTATAAAATGTGGAAGTAGTGGTAGTTTGAGGACTTTCTTTTCAAATTGGGCACTGGGGACTCAAATGGTGGATCATAAACAAACAGGAGGCGGCACTAAAAGTCAATAAATCTTTTGCGATGTCTAGACACAGGCTTTAGTTTACTATTATGAATGATCATCCTTCATGCACAGGTGCTGGAGTAGCCAAAAACTGTCTTCAAGTAAGAGTACTGTTACTTTGAAATATAGTTTAGTAGTATTTTTAACGCCCGTCTACAAAAATTTGGGGGCCCGGGACAAGAAGACTCACATAGGCCCATTTCTAATATTAATAATAGGCAGAAAGTCCAATTTTGGGCCCCTAAAATCCTCCTGTTGACTTCCATGTTTAAGTAATATAAGTATAGAGTAAAAAAGTACAACTCAGTAAGACCAGTTATAAGAGTAACTGTCTGGAATCTGATTCTAACTACTATATAACTATATAACTAACTACTATATAACTATAAACTAAATAATATCCGAAGGAGTGGTGAAAGAAACACAATGGTTTGAAAGATTTAGTTGCCAACATAAAGTTTTTGTCACTTATTATTGATTTATAGTGGTAGAACTTTTACTAAAGTAGTAGTAGTAGAAGTAGTATTAGTAGAAGTAGTAGCAGTAGTAGTAGTAGGTAGTACTAATAGTAGTAGACAGTAGTCGTATAAAGGTACGTTATCTGAAAACTACACTGTAGAACATAACTGAGTACTACCCACATACAGTTTCCTTCCTTTCCAAACTTTCCTCTACTGCATTGTGCTATTATAACGAAGTAGTAGAAGTAGTAGTAGTAGTAATTATAGCAGTAGTAGTTGTAGTAGCAGTAGTAGCAGTATAATTAATAGTAGTAGTAGAAGTAGTTTCTTTTTAACAAACTTTCCTCCACTGTGCTATTATAATGAACAAGTAATAGTAATAGTAGTAGTAGAAGTAGTTTCCTTTCAACAGACCTTCCCCCACTGTGCTATTATAATGAGGAGTAGTAATAGTAGAAGTACTAGTAGTAGTAGTAGCAGTAGTAGCAGAAGTACTAGTAGTAGTAGTAGCAGTAGTTGTAATAGTAGTAGTAGAAGTAGTTTTCTTTTAACAAACTTTCCTCCACAGCGCTATTAAAATGAACAAGTAGTAGTAGTAGTAGTAGCAGTAGCAGTAGTAGTAGTAGTAGCAGTAGCAGTAGTAGCAGTAGTAGCAGTAGTAGTAGTAGTAGCAGTAGCAGTAGTAGTAGTAGGTTCATGCAGCTAAAACCTGGAACAGTCTTCCTGAACATGTGAGACAGACTCTTCTGTGACGCTGTTTAAATCCAGGCTCAAAACATTTCTGTTTAACTGTGCATATAACTGAAAGGTTTTCATTCCGCACTCTTCTCTCCAATTTATGTCTCTATTTTTTAATTTTAATCTTCATGATTATTTATGTTTTGATTTGTTTTTATTATGATTTTAATGTATTTCTTATTCTGTAAAGCACTTTGAATTACTTTGTGTACGAATTGTGCTATACAAATAAACTTGCCTTGCCTTGCCTAGTAGTAGTAGTAGTAAAAAAGTAGTAGTAGTAGTAGTAGTAGTAGTAGTAGTAGTAGTAGTAGTAGTAGTAGTGGCAGTAGTGGCAGTAGTAGTAATAGTAGTAGTAGAAGTAGTTTCCTTTTAACAAACTTTCCTCCACTGTACTATTATAATGAACAAGCAGTAGTAACAGTATTAGTAGTAGTAGTATTAGTAGTAGTAGTTGTTGCAGTGGCAGTAGTAGCAGTAGTAGTTGTAGTAGCAGTAGTAGTAAGAGTAGTAGTAGTAGTTGAAGTAGTAGAAATAGTAGTAGTAGCAGTAGTAATAGTAGTAGTAGTAGTAGTAGTAGTAGTAGTAGTAGTAGTAGTAGTAGTAGTAGTAGTAGTAGTAGTAGTAGTAGTAGTAGTAGTAGTAGTAAGAGCAGTAGTAGTAGTTGAAGTAGTAGCAGTAGTAGTAGAAGTAGTAGCAGTAGTAGTAGAAGTACTAGTAGAAGTAATAGAAGTAATAGAAGTAGTAGTAGTAGTAGTAGTAGTAGTAGTAGTAGTAGTAGTAGTAGTAGTAGTAGTAGTAGTAGTAATAGTAAAAGTAGTAGTAGTAGCAGTAGTCGTACTAGTAATAGTAGTAGTAGTAGTAGTAGCAGTAGTAGAAGTAGTCGTAGTATTTTCCTTTTTCCAAACTTTCCTCAACTGCATTGTGCTATTATAATGAACAAATACAAGTGACTTTGGCATTTCTAAGAATAGAGCTTGCGTTAGTCTTTGTGCCAGTGAACAGTGAGTTTTATTTGTGAAGTCTGAATTTAACAGTCAGCATGAGGGAGAAAAAAAACTTTCATTAATTTCCAACCCCCCAGACTGATGTGGGATTGTCATTTTGACGCTCAGCAGGACTAAGGAGGTGGTGCCTGTCAAAAAATCTCCATGTTTATTTATAATGCAGTGCAGCTCACATCCCACAAGAAAAAAGAGAAATTATTCCAGAGTTATTTGTATGCATAAACTTTTGTTGAGTTTTAAGTGTCATTCAAACTGCCTTGTCATTCCCTAGCCTTTTGCATGGAAAATTTGCATACCACAAGCCTAATTTAAGTTTGTTTGTGGGTTTAAAAAGCATCTTATTAGCTATAGAAGAAATAAAATGGATACACAAAATGAACTAGAATACGAAGCAGTTCTACAACCAGACAGAGTTTAATGAAATGTGAGATTATTACACAGATGCGTGAACATAAGCCAAAAAATCCCAATCTTTGTATGTGCAAGGGCTGGATTTAAAGATGCACTACGGAACATTTCGAGTGATGTGTCCATAACCTCCTTGATTCTGTGGTTTGCCTGGAAATTTCCACAGTATGGCATTAGTCTTATCTGTCTCCAAGCGTGTGACACCACTTGGCAAATTCTATAGATAGATTAAGTGAAGAGGCAAACCCGCTCACAGTAAAAATGTGTTTTTTCATCTGTAATTGATTATATGTAAGACAGGTAAGTTTAATGTCATGTTGTGGATTCTTAAAAAAGACAAATGTGATGGATACCCCAGACAAAATAGTTACACCTTTAAGTAAGTCCAGTTGTTCAAAAGCTTTGTTCCAAACACACATGAATTTCAAAAAGTAAAAGTGACCCTTCGCTTGTCTTAATATAACCCTCATGGTACCACATTGCACACATTTTAAAGGTCCTATATTACACAAAATTGACTTAAAATTGTGAGCTTTAAGCTCTGTTCAAATGTTGTAACCTCAACAAAAACATACCCAGGGTTGTGTTTTTGAGATTGGCAATTCTCCTGATAGTGATTCGAGTGAAGGTTCTTATGAATAAATTGTAATCTGTTTATCTATCAATTTTAGTACGTCTGTCTTGGAAAACCGTGTGCTTTTATATTTTTAATATTTATTGTGATTTTAGCCAAGCGTGATGGATGAATTTAACTAATTGTTTATGGAACAAACCATTCTGCACTGGAGCACTGTGATACTTTTTTTAATTGTGTTTTTTATACCTGTTTATTGTGTATACTGTGGATGAATGAAATGTGAAATGTGGGACCTGTCTCTCAAATCTGCAAAACAAATTTACCTACGGGTACGAATAAAGCAACCTAATCTAACCTAACCTGGAGTTTAAAAACACAGTGGAGCACTTCCTGTATTAGTGTGTTTGAAGTAGAGCGTTTTCTGCCTGAAAAAAGACGCAGGGTTTGTGTATTGGGTTGGTTCAGTTCAGATAATAGAGGTTGGCGGTATAAATCCCACTCTTGACATAAACAGGATGGTGGTGCGATTCCAGCTGCTACAGATGAATGTTGTTGTTGTGTCCTTGGGCAGGACACTTAACCCACCTCACCCCTAGTGTCTATGTACCCTGTTGTATGAATGTGTCTGTCAATTGTTGAGTGGTTCCTTGAAGTAAAGCGCTTTGAGCCTTGAAGGTGCAAAAGCGCTATATAAAAATGTGACCATAAACATGTATGAATGAAACAAAACACAACTCCGACTATGTTTTTGATGAGGAAACAGCATTATAACAGATGAGAAAACAGTGTAATATGGGCCCTTTAAATAACTTAGAGCAATGTCCGTAAAACACCACCTGCAGAGGAATCATTTGTAGTTCACGATACTTGCTTTTAACATTGATTTTACACCACTTACTGTAGCATTACTGAACGTATTGGATAATTAATGGCATATTCATGAAAGTACTGTATATTGCCATCTATACAGGCCCCTTTCTGTATGTTTAAACAGGTCCAACCAAATGCTATTAGACCAACACTGACTACACTACACTATAAAGGTGTTGTGTGTAGATTTCTACTATAAAGTCTCCAAAGATGCTTGCTTTGGAGATCTCTATAGCTAGTCCGGATAAGATAAGCCTTTATTGTTTCCGCATTTGCCTCTTTTTTCATAGGCACACAGCTGAAGATCTGCCTGTACTGTCATACACAATTAGTTCAATTTTTCATTCATACATTTTTGTTTCAAGGACACTTTAGAGACCAAATATTTGTGGTCACCTATTGGCAAAATCAAGATGAGTGGATTATTGTTGTGCTTTTTTGCAAGCATCCCTCTAACAAGACTCAATTTCCATCACCATTCATTAGGGATGTAACAATAACTGAAATATCATATCGTATCATCAAAATATCACACGAATTATAAGTTTCTTTGCTTAAATTCATTGTTATGTTGTTGTGCAGAAGGAACTACATAGACCATGATGCTTTGCTCTGTTTCTGTTACATGAAATAATGTTATAAGCGCTTTTAAATGTTTTAAATTTGGATTATGAATCAAAGTTTTATCAAGGCATTTTAAAAGTGAAAAGCAGGACAATCGCAATTCTGTTAGACTCTGCAAAATATAATACCGTGATGCATATCGTGAAAATATCGTATTGCGACATTTGGATATTGTTACATCCCTACCATTCACAGAAAATAAATAATAAAAGATTTTGTAATATGTGCACGTCTCTGCCTTCATTGCGTTAAAAACCTTAGTGTGCTTGTTCATAGGTGCTTTGAGAGATAAACCAAATGTGGAAATGTCCTTTTACTTTGAATCTTGCTATTATAACATCGGATATTTTAAGATTGTAGTAATTTTCCCCCTTTATTTTAGACTGTTTCTATCAATTGTAAGCCAACACACACTGAAAACATCTGGACGACTACATGACAGATTATGGGGATTTCATTGTCATTAGATTCAATATTATACTGTACATTCATGGCTCAGTATGTTGCCAGTCATTAAGCTACACACATTTACACCTTACGCATGTTTACAAAAGTGAAGTTTGGAAAATGTCTTGTGGACTGTCCCGCAAAATATGGGATCAATATTTTTTTTGTTTTCGTCGTCAGGTGAAAATGACCGAACAAATTCAATCTTCTCAACACTATTTTCTTCATGTTTCTTGCAAGACACCTCAACAAACTATCATACATGAACAAAATAAAAATATTGTAAATTTTCCCTCATGGCGGAAAGGAAAAAAGTCCACTCTTTTTGGCAAAGGTTTGTCCAAAAGCAACTCTCTCCAAGCTACATTGTCCTCCTCATTCATGCTGTAGTCCTACTTCAGACAGTAGTAGAGTCTGTTTGGTTGTTGGAGCTGTCAATCATCGCTGCAGGAGTGGCACAGCCAGTGGGAAGAGGAGTAGGATGGTGGAGAGGCAGAGCTGAGGGGGAGCCGTGCCCTTCACTCCTTTGTTGTCCGGTGGGTAGGGGAACAAGCCCGCTCTGCTCCGAGTACACTGCCCACTGAAGCACATGCCGCTTCCTGATCCGCTGATGTCATCACCTACAGGGCCAAAGGACAAAACACAACTTTAGTCAACCGTGCAAGCCATGTCATCAAACTTCAAGCGCCAGTCTGGGTCCCAGTCTGGACGAAGACATGCATTCTGTGTTGAGAACGTTTCCCGAGATCAGGGATTTAAAACAGGAACAAAGAGAATGTTTGGTGAATTTTATCAAGGAGAAAGACATTATTGCCCTTCTTTCTACAGGATTTGTCGTATTACATATGTCATGGCCAAAGAGCAGTGATTGGTTAAATAAAAAAAGTATCCTCCTATCGAGCAAACTAATCCTAATGCTGTGAGGTCAGATGGTTTCCACAAAGTGAAACTGTCTGATGAATCAGGCTAACGTGCTGGGCCAGTGCTGGGTTATAAAACATATCTATATTTATAATATTGGAATAATTAATTATTAAGGAAAACAGTCACAAAACAGCCATTATGTCTGCCCTTACTTCATTAACACACATGTGGAACCAAGTAATAGACAATAGACAATTAAAACACTGCTACCTTAGATGTTCTGTCCAGTTATTTTATAGTATACTATGAATGAATTCAGAAATTGACAAAGAAAGATTTCAATATCTACCCCATATGTAACTCAGGTCCTAGTTTGATTATTTTCTTTATATTAATTTGACATGGACAAAGAGCAGCGTTGCATGTCCAAAGCCATATCAAATTATAAGTCATCTAGTTAAATATTCAGACTTGGTCCCTAATATAAAACAGACCAGGATTTGGGATTAGTTGCCAGTAAGAGATGATTTTGATTGATTGTTAGTGTAATTTTCAGACTCACTTGCGTCCTGGAAGTCCACGTCGTTTCCCTCCAGAGCGTTTTTCAGTCGGTTGCTCATGATTTTGAGCTGCATGATCTGCTGTCGGATTGTCATGTCCGGCTTTGTGATGTCCAGCTCCACCTCCGGGTTATTAATCTGACTGGCCAGACCATCTCCCATCACCTCCGGAAGATACCTGAGAGAGGGAGGGGAACAGGGAATGGGGGAGAGAAAGAGAGAGAGAGAAGTAGGGAGAAATAAAGGGAGATACAGGGGGAGATAGAGAGGGAGAGAAAGAGGGAGAAATAAAGGGAGGGAGGGGGCAGGGGGGTGGAGAGTGCAAGAGTTAAGGAGAGATAGAGAGAGAGGGAGAGAAGGAGGGAGAGAGAGAAAAATAATGAAGATCAAGGCTACTTTCCAAGTATCTTTTCAGAATCTCTTACTCAAATGCACACTGCTCTAATATTTTCGGTCTTTCGTTTTAAGATGCAAGGTCACATTATTATTGTGATTGATACTGTCACAAAATCTAATCAAAACAGTTTAGTGAGTCCAATTGTTTGTCTCAAGAATTGCTTCGATTGCTTTGTTATTGATTTAATTCACATAGCTACAACTGGCGCATTCTTCTAAGATGATGATTGACGTCTCAATTTCAAGAGATTACCTTGAAAACCTTCTATTATGGACCACTGCTGAGTGAATGAGGGATTGCACTCTACTAATCATTCCACTATTCCACTGTGCAATTAATAGAAAAAGGTCACAATTTCATGGAGCACTTTTCCACCTTTAAGACACTCAAAGCATCAAGGAAACACTCACCCATACACACACACACTAGTATATGCAGACACTGGGGGCAAAGGGGTTAAGAGTCATGCCCAAGGACACAGCAACAGCATTCATCTGTGGGAGTTGAAAGCACACTGCCCACCTGCTCTACCAAAGATGTTTATGTCGAGAGCAATAAATCAAAATATTAAAATGTTAAAAACAATACACATACACACCCACTGAAATGTTCCTCTATTTTTTGTCCAAGTCTAATTTTAATAGCAATGGCTGATTTAAACCAACAGGTGTCACTGTGGAGCTACATCTGAGCCCATCCATCAAAGTAAGCTCAGTAAGTATATTTCCTTAATCTTTCTCACAGTCAGCTGTTCGTCTGTATGCACGCTCACGCTCCTGTCTCACACACTCACACACTTATATTTTACGCTTTGACGATTACTTAGAGCAGAGCCGCCTATGCACTGAAGTGGGTTTGCCTCACTATAAATCAGATGGCCATAAACTGAGCATTTCATGGCATAAGGGGAGAGTGGAGTGGCGTGAAATAACATGTAGACATTTCAATGCAGCATAAAATTGTTCTCAAATCCATTATATAAGGACTGGAGGGGCACAATATGAACAAAGCGTAACACAGTGTACCAGACGCTTATCAAAAGGGTAAAGGCTGTGCTTGAACCCAAATACCCAAATCAAAGAAATAAGTTAATACAATGTGATTAATAAATGTACAGTTAAATTAGAGAGAAAAGCTAATTTCTAAATACAATATTTTTTTTATTTTTGTTTTTAATTTAACATTTCTAGTAAATACCATAAATACTCAATACCATAGACTGTATAAAGAAATGGACTAAGGGACGTCATCTATAGTATTCGGCAGTCAAATGAAGCTCATGAGGCTGGCAGTTATGGGGCAAATTTGAAGCTGAGTTCCATAATAGGAACAGGAATTGATTTACAGCAGTACAGCGAAATAAAGACACCAAGGTCAGAGCGGGTTATTACAAACATTTTAAGACCAAAATGAGGAGCCTGACAGCAGAAGTTAAGCAGAGAAGGATCACGTTTTTTCAATAGAAAGCGAACTGGAGCCAGAGTTGATGCAGTCTGAAGCGCGCCCAAGCTCACTTTTGGAAAACAGCAGACGTTTATGATCAATACATTAGCAATTATAAAATTGAGTAATATGTTTATTAAGGTGTTTATGTAGCTTTCTGGGGGAAGATTTGCCATCTGCTTGTCTCCATGGAGATGTTATTGCTTTGTCTGGAATGTTCCACAGTGTCACATTAAACTTATCTATCTCCATAAAGTCCAGCATGTGACGCCACAGAGCCAAGCTACAAGTCAAGAATTACAAAATATGAATGCTTTTGTGGGTATATTTGAGAAGAAACACTTGTACTTGAATAAATGCAAGAGATATAGATTTAACCCCATACGTAACATTCTGGACAAAGCAATTATATTTCCATGGAGACTAGCAGATGGCAAACCCCTCAACAGAAAACTTACAAATTGCACCAATGAAGCAAAATGAAGCATTATTTGTGATGGGTGGTCTCTTACCTTCCTTTGGACATTCCATTCCAGCATTTGTCTGGACTGGAGCCTTCAGCCACTTTACCGCACAGACCCACAGGGAGCTCAATCCAGTACTGACGCATCTCTCTCAGTTTAGTGGTGAGAACAGACACCTGAGAATACACAGAGACACACATAATAGTCAGAAAACCAGCCAAAAAAAACAAAACAAAAAACAGCAACATCTTTTGGCTCAGATTTATATTTTAAATGCATATACTCAATGGTAAATTCATGTTCTTTCATAGCATTTTCTCTTTCACTTTGGATTTGAATGTGATAAATAAAACAATAGTTCTGAAGGAGTAGGATCAACTATGCAGGTCTAGGCTTTTCTAATTTGACTTCAAAATGGCCCAGTATACATGCATTTTAGTAAAATAAATATACTAATGTGTGGAGTTTGTGGCATTATTAAATTTTTATGGACTAAATATAGACTGTAAAAAAGTGGACTAAGCACCCATAAGTCACCCATAGCGTTTAGTGCCACTCAAATGAAGCTCACGATGCTAATGGTTACAGCCAGGCTCTATATTATGAATAGGATTTTTTTGACGGACAAAATAGTGAGAAAAAACCCACCAGGATCATGAAGAGCGGGTTAATACGAACATTTTAAGCAGTTTCAGAGAGAGGAGCGACATGTTTCTAATCAATGTGAGTCAGTGGGAGCCTGGGTCAGTAGGAGCCGGGTGAGCCGCATGCGAACTTCCAGTTTGGAAGCTAAGCTAAGTCCTATTTTAGCTATGTCCATTTATATATACAGTCTATGTGTCCACCCCAAGCCTGCTTGCCTACCCATAAAAGTCACTGTACACTACTGATGTTTGGTTATTTAATGGAAGCTTGAATTAGGTGAGTGGCACCTTCTGCTGGCAGTATTGGGGACTGGAGATTTTTTAATAGATAGACATAATAGACTCAATAGATAGGTGTATTGCTAATGTAAATGTGATGCAAATAGATAACTTCAAAAACACAAAAGAACACTTCCAGGTTTTAGTTGAACCAAAGTCTTTGTATTGGATCAGACAAACTTGAGCTCCAAAAAGAAGGGGGAAAATATTCTACAGTGGCAAAAAGAAACAGTATGAGCATAACATATGCCTTTAAAATAATACCAGTTCCAGACAGACCTGCATTTCCAGTCTGATGCCAGCAGTGGGCGCTGGTTTGTTCTCTGAGGCGGTGAGTGAGCTGCTCTTCTTCTTCTGCTCCTGGACTGTGGGGGTCCCAGTGCCTGATTCCCCTGGAGTCCCACAGGTCTGGTACACCTGTCATGGAAAAGAACCGTTTGTACGTAAACACTTCAATTAGCCTCACACAATAAAACAAATAATAAAACAAGATAATGAACAAATAGTTTATAGGAATGATTCAGGTATACTTAATTAATACCCTAATTTCTAACCCCTTAATTAAGTACTACCAAGCTTGAATCATCACAATCTGAACAGAAAGAGCTGCCCGAGATGATTTGTGCTGTTAAACAAGCCTCGCACCCATGAAATTACAGTCACAGATTAGTTAGAATTATCCAACAGTTTTTCATCTCGTCACTCTTACCTTTTTTGTTGAAAATCAAACTCAAACCTAAGGTGTGTACGCTCGCATTAATCACAGGCTCCTAAAAATATGTGTTGTTTTTTGAGTTTTTGGCTGTGTGCTAATGTATGTCATTTCACCATAGATATACATGTAGAACCCCCAATTTAATCCCCCATTGTGATGTCACTGCAAAAAAAAGTATCAACAACATTTTCTTTAGCACTGACTGCCTACCTCTAAAGACACAGTGCAAAATAGAGTGCTTCTATTTTTTCCACTAGATGTCACTAAAAGAACACGAGAAACAAAAGGGATATGGATATTTTTGCCAAAGCTAACTGTAACTGTTTATATATTTTTTTTAAGAGCAACACTAAATACCCATTTAACTGTTGCCACTTTTATTAGCTAAATACAGCCAATGGCAAAACACTCGAGTCTCACTAATACCCTCCAAGAGATATAATTTCCTGAACATGATAATTAAACTGTTCACCCTTTGCCAAAAACTTTTATCAAAGGCGGTAATTTGAAATTCTACAACACAATTTCCTTGCGTAAGATAATCATGCTGAAAATTAATAGCCTTGTAATATCTTGTAATACATCTATTATGTTGGAGCTGGATACATAAGCACTTTGATTTTACCTTAGCAGTGAAGGAGTCCATGTTTTCCTTCAGGTAGTAAACAGCTTCATAGATTCGAGAGGGGATGGAGGAGAGGACCACGTCGAGACTGGGCTCTGTGCTGAAACTGGAGGCCACCTGGATCATGGTGTCTGTTTACACACACAGAAAAGACAAATAATAATATAATTGATTATTCCATCCATTAAAACAAGACAGTTAATGAGTTATATTTAAAAATGCAATAGTGAAGAATTACTACCAGATAATTTACATATGAAAACTGATGAACTGAAAAAGGGAATATAAAATGCAACATTAATATTAATAATGTGCTCATCTCATCAGGAAAAAAAATGTAGTGACTTCTACTGGGTTTTATAGACAGTAAGCAGTTTTTTTTGACAGCTTTGAGGTGTATATTCACTTAAAGGTCCTCTATTACGCAAAATGGATTCTTGTGAGCATTACGCCCTGTTACAATGTTGCTTATTAACATACCTGAATGTCTGAGTTATCTTTTATTATTAATCTGACTAAAGCCCAAGATCAAAATACTCTATTCCACCTTGTGATGTCATGAACAGGTTAACTGCAATTTTTTTCAGTAGAAAAAATTATTCACTAGAATTGGAAGATTGGATGATTTGGATCTGATTTGGATTTGATCACTGGATGATTTCAGCCCTGGATAAAACACAGTGGAGCACTACTCTTTATTGCCACATGACATGTTGAATGTTTTCTGTTTGAGAGAAGAACTCAGCCTAAATATGCAGGGTTTGTGTGTTAAACATGTGTAAATGAAACAAAACACAACTTGTGTTTTTAACAAGGAAACAACATTATAACAGATCAGAAAATAGTATAATATGGGCCTTTTAAATAATAATCGTCATGAACAACATTCAAATATATATATTTTTTTATTTGCCTTTGGTGCAGTGATAATATTTATGTCACCATGTTATGCTGTTGTTTTTAGGCAGGACACTTATCCTTTGGCAGCTCAAAGTGGCTGTGCGAATGATACATTTTCAAATTTAAATGCATGTATTTCTAGCAAGGGATTTGAGGTTTAAACTTTTTGAAAACGAGTGAATCCTTCAAGGCCTGTGTAAATGTATACAGAATATAGAAATACTTTCATAATCTACATTGAAACTAACACAATTTAAAACAGATATATGTGTAATTTTTTGTACACACCAATGAGATTCTGCCACTCAGAGTTGAGGTCGGCCTGGTTGGCGAGGCAGCCCTTCATGACGTTGAAGCAGTAGTTGGAGCAGGGCTTGACTGAGGCAAGACCGCGACAGTGAGGACAGTACACGAGCTTCATCAGAGCTTTCACACAGTCAGGGCTCAGAGCAACCTGCAAACAGCCAACCACACCAAACAGATCAGCATAATCCAATCTACTGCTTATCAGGGACTTTTACTGCCTGGTACACAGAGACAAGTACAGGCATATCCACTAGAGGGCAGTAATGGAGTGTTGAGAGTCAGGCAGGCAGAGACAGAAGGAAACGCTGGTGGTTTATCATCCATCAATGTCACAGGGAGATAAAGTCCATAAGAAAAATGTCTGGTTTCACACAGGGAAAGATGATGCAACGTGTAACAATTTGTAAGAGAAGAAATTACATGTGTTATGGTTTATTTTTGAATCCAGCCTACTTAAAGATTCACTGTGTAACTTTTCTACCGTCTGCTTCATTCTTGTCTCCATGGAGATGTTATTTCTTTGTCTGGAATATTCCACAATCTTGCACTGTACTTATCTTTCTTGCATTCATTAGTGTTTTTATTACTGTTTTTTTATTACTCTGAAGAACATCAATTGTTAGTGTGAGTGGGGCCACCTTTTCACAGATCTAACCTGTAACTGAGGGTGCAACTTTTCTGTTTCCACATATGTTTGTCTCCATGGAGATGCTATTGCTTTACCTGGAGTGTTTCACAATATGGCATTAAACACATCTATTTCCATGGAAACGAACAAGAAGTAGGTGACACTACTAGACCAAGTTACAGGTCAGGTCTATGGAGTGGTGACCCCACTGTTCATAAAAATGTAAGGTATTTTTACTCCAATAAGGAATCTGTAATTAGATAAATGCAAGAAAAGTTTAATCCTCTACTGTGGAACATCCCAAGACCAAGCAATAACATTTAACATGCAGGATCAAAAATGCACCAGAAATGTTACGTAATGCACCTTTAACCTTGGTGGCATCAACTACTAAGTTTAATGTCATGCTGTGGAACATTACAACAATAATATATCCATGGAGAAAAACAGGTGGCAGATCCTCCACCAGAAAAGTTACACAATACAACTTTAAACAAAGCATATGTTACGGAGAAGTTAAAGAGCAAAACAAGAAGAAAAGGCGTTGTCATTGTAAAAAAAAAAAAAAAAAAAAAAAGTAATAAGATAATTGTTAATAATTTCAAATGGCCCCGGTAAACATTTCAGAGACCTTTTATTGTTTGGACATAACAGAAATAATGTAAGGGAAGCACACGGAGCGGTTCTGACAGCTGCTTTGTCATGTCTGAATAGAGCAGCTTTGTTTTGATGACACTTAAGTTTTGATGCGTTTTGTGAGGTTGTGTTTTTGGGTGGAGATTTTATTTTCTGTGGCAGTTTGGGTGTGACCAGTGTACATCCATCACAGCTGCTTTACTGGGACTCAGCCCTCAGAGAAAAATACCAAAGACGGGAAATTATGTTTACGCGGTGTGTCCCAAACTCAGGGCAAGACGAAATACTCTATAAACTATTGGATCAGGGTTCAAGTACAGGGCTGGACTTTTTGACTAACATACTGTTTTCAATTTTATACACTACACTGTACTACTATAAACTCTGACTAAATGATCAAAGTTAAATTCATTTTTCGAGTAAAGAGTCCATCACCAGCTTGTCTTTATGGAGATGTTATTGCTTTGTCTGGTATGTTAAAGGAATGTTAAAACTGCACCTTTATTCCTTGTCATAAATTGTAATTTTTATTGAATTATACATATTTTAATTAAAGACATCTTGAACTTACATGTTACCTTGTCAAAATATAGCAGCTTTTAATGATGTTTTGAAATAATTATTGTACTGTCAAAAATTATCTACTTTTAAGTCATGTTTTTTGTTTTTATGATTCATGTTTTAAAAGCTTTATTTTTGAAAAGGGGTTGTGTGGTAGAACAAGTTTTCACATCACTCAAAACAAAAGTGAATAGATTTTTTTTTTCATATTTAAATCACATGTAACTAGAATAATCAACCCAATAACTAGATCTGATGTTTGGTGTGTTTACATGCACAAGAAAAATCTGATCATCAAACACCTAGTGACATGTGAAAGTTAATCAGTGGATTTTTAGAGTAACTGCTGTATTTGGAAGAGAAAGTGCAATGCATTTTAGAATTACTCTTTCAATCTTTAACATGTTCTCTTTGGTTTTTATCTTTGCTACATTAGTTTGCCCTTTTTTGAACAAAATACTTGTAAAAATTTGCAGAAGTGTGAACAGTGACAAAGAAATCAGATTACTCTCATCAGATGTAACTATTAACATGGCCTTTCAGTAATCTGATAACTCCAGAAATTAGGGAATGATGAGAGTTTTGGTGTGCATGTAAACACCACCACTGATTTCAGCCACTTAAACCACACATAAAATCAAATTAACTGCACATATACTTGGACAAGGTATGCAGTCTCTTCAGTATAAATTTATACTATATAGGGGTGTAACGATATCCAAGTCTCACGATACGATATCGTCACGGTATGAACCTCACGGTACGATATTTATTGCGATATCCTAGGAAAACTCACGATATGGTGGAGAGGCTCACGATTAGGGATGTAACAATATCCAAATCTCTCTGTACGATATTGTCACAACATACAACTCATGGTACGATATTTATTGTGATACTTTGTGGAGGCTAACAAAATTTAATGTGCTACTTTTTCCTCTAAAAATGCCTTGACAAGACTTAGTCCAAACTTAAAAGTGCTTAGAAATGTTATTTCTTCTTGTAGTCTACACTGAAATGAAGCAAAGGATCATGGTCTATGTAGTTCCCTTTGTCTTTTTTAGCTATTGCTGCACCATAACTCTTAATTTAAGCAAAGGGACTTGTAATTCGATATACTGTGATGGTCCACGATATTATTGTGAGAACTCTGACAATACGATATCACGATATTTCGGTTATTGTTACATCCCTAATACTATGTACTTCTTATTATTTTTATTAGTTGTTATTATAATGATCTGATCTTGTGTCTACTGTAATGTGTCAACCAAGAATATATATGTGTATTTTTTATGTGTAAAAGTATGACACAATGAAGTATTAAAAAAAAAAAAATCTCTGGAGTGTATATTTATACTCTGTTCTTGACAAACTGCCTATGACACAAACATTGACTCTGACTCTCACTTCTCGTCACTTTGAGTCTCACCTGTGACACCTTCCTCACCACGTCCCCACTGACGATGAGCCCCTGGACAAACGAACGCGCTGTGACGAAGGCCCGCACCACCTTCGTCTTCATGTCTCGTGGGACGTCTCCGAACGGACGCAGTGTCTCCTGTTGCTTGGCGACGCACTCCAGGTAGTCCTCAGATAGGATGACCTGCCAGACACAACCAGAGCTGTGAATGACGGGGAGGGGATTTTGGACAGCGCGACTTCATTAGACCACATCCCCGGGGCTGTTTGGAGCTTTGTAGAGGAACTGAGGAAGATGCATTTAGGGGACACATTTTGATAGTGTTTATTTCTAAGAATAGATTGTCTACTCTACATCAGTGTCATCTGTTTCTCAAACAAAAAAAATACTAAACTGGAGCAAAACAAGTAAAGAAATGGTGATCTTGATTTGATGTTTTATGACTGTGTGTAGTCTATGTTATAATCTAGTTTCATCATCAAAATACACACTCAGAGTTGTGTTTTGTTTCATTCAGACATGCTTAACACACAAACCTTTTTGATAAGGTAACAACATTATTAATAGAATGTTTTTATGTAAATATCTAAACTGTTTTTTCTTGTCATAGAATGGACTGAACTCACTGGGTGACCTCACAAGAGTCAATTTTGCGTAATATAGGACCTTTAACCATTCTTAGATTAACAAGACAAGTAAGTAAAGTACATACCTACTGAATTATGTTACAATTAGATTATTTCTTTTTTAGCAGCGTGGCCCCATGAAGATGTGCTTGATTTGCCTGTAATGTTCCACAGTATGGTATTAATCCCATCTATCTCCATGGAAACAAGCAGGTGACACCACCAGGCCAACCTGAAGTTCAGATCTGTCAAGAGGTCACTCCACTGACAGTTAGAACACATAAAAAAAAAAAGTTACACTTGTAATTTAATAATTACAAGACAGGTAAGTTTAATGCCATACTGTGGAACATTCCAGGCAAGGCAATATCTGGTAGTAGGCTCCCCCAATACAAAAGTTGCCCTTCTTTAATTCCAGGAAACAGGTCTGTTATTAGACCAAAAGAACCAAAAAAGACCACTCAGACATCAACACCTTTGTAGTTACACAGAGATGTTCTATTTAAAGACTTTAAAAAATGTTTTGCTTATCATAAGAATACAGAGCGGCGTTCATGGGGAAGTGATAATACCAGATGAGAAACATTGTAAGCCCAAGTGACACATCTAAAAATGGAATCTTATCAGCTTGTCACATTGGAGAAGTGAAACAAAACAGAAGCCAAAACTAAAGATGAGAGGAACGCTGTGAAAGACTATGTCAGAAAATAATTATGTAGACTTGACTCATTTTTATGCACGCTGCCAACAGAATCAATATTAAAGTCTGTAAGTAATATATATTGCAAACATATGACTACAGATATAAAGGGAAAATACACAGACAGTAGGTCTGGCATTTACATTTGTCAAAGTGTAGACTCATAAAAATGTACAGCCACAAAGATTGGACTACGAACTAAGTTATGATGGTTATATCTATAAAAAGTGGTACTACAAATAAGTTACTGTAGGTGCTGAAGAAGTTGGTGCTGGTTGTGTTTCCATGACACCTGAAAATGCTAGAGGTTAAATTTAAATCCACTTTATTTCTATAGCACATTTTATCATCAAAATTGTTTCCAAAGTGCTGCACATAAAAAGATAACATTCAAAACAACAAAAGGTATTAAAAATAACAGAGGGTATAAATGCCCAATTTAACCTTGCCAGTCCTAAAAGACTAAACGCAGTAAAGTCAAGTAAAAGCAAACTCGTAAAAGGTTAAAGGAGCACTGTGTAACTTTTCTGGTGGAGGGTACGCCATCTGCTTGTCTCCATGGTGATTGCTTTGTCTAAGATTGTTTCACAGTATGAGATTTTTTAATTTCATGCTGTGGGACATTACAGGCAAAGGAGACAAGCAGGTGCAGGAGAACATTATTGCTTTATCTCCGTTGTTTCACTCTATGCAATGTTTAATGCCCTACTGTGGGACATTTCAAGCAAAGCAATAACATCAAAATGAAGACAAGCAGGTGTTCCAGAAAAGTTACACATTGGATCTTTAAAAATGAGCAAGAATGTAGGTTCACAAGAGTCAGTTTTGTGCAATATACGACTTTAATATCTTTGTAATCACAAGTTGTTTTTTTTTACTTACGTCAGAGGGGGCGGAGCTCTTGAAAGTGCGTTCCAGGAGGCGGGACCAGAAGTCGGAGAGAGTTTCGTCCAGGTTGAGAGCAGAGCCGCGGTAGTACTGTCTCAGGTCTGTGTAGAGGTCCCCAAACAGACGGGTGTTCTGGGAGTACAGGGGACCAAGGGGGGCCAACTTCTCCTGCAGGGCACGCTCCGAGTGACTGTGCAGCTCCGTGAAATACACTGAAATATAACAAAAAAAACAAACAAAAAACTTAATATATTCCTATCCATGTATACAGTACTCTACTACAACAGAAGAGGAAAATAAACAGGTTCAGACTTAAGCTGCCATCACAATTGTCATGATTAGGTCCATGGTCTTGACTTGGTTTGGTCCTGTTCTAGTCCGGGTCTAGTCCAGGTTTAGCTCCGGGTTTAGTCCTATAGTTTTGATGTGGTACGTGCAAGTATGAATGCACCCTTTTAAGGAAACAATGTCAAAACAAATGATGTAATCAATTAATAAAATATAAAATTGTGTACACTTTTTAAAAATGCCTAGTCTGGGGTGTAGCACCAAATTTTGGGCCCTGGATACACGTTTTAGAATAGTTTCTGAACCAAATAGCCATCATAAGTAGGGGTGTGCAAAAATATCGAAATATTGATATATCGTATCGTTTAATGTGATGATACAGTATCAGTATCATGGGCTGCTGTATCAATATATCACCAAGAGTATTTTATGCAATTACTTTGTTACAGTGCTACAGTTTTGTTGCTTGTTTGGTGGAAGGAAACTCATTTATGCGACACATTTGACATTTTCACCATTTGGATGAGTAAAATGGGCTTTTTTGATATTAACTTTACACAAGTAGTGGCTTAACAAAGGCTTTTAGTATCACAGCCATTTAGCCCTAATTTTTTTTGAACCGTATCAAATTGATCATATCAAATAGAAAGGGCACTGTATTGAGATATGTATTGTATCGTGGCCTATATCGAGGTACGTATCTTATCAGCAAATTCTTAATGATACCAAGCCCTACTCATAAAGCTGCTCAAAAATGGAAATAGAAAAAAATCAAGAATATTCAAATCATTATCATTAACTATTCTTACAGAGAGTGAAAAGGTGAAATGAGATCAGGAGAAATGAAATGAGATCCATTATAAGTGCATATTGTTGACCATACACACATATGATAATACTGTTTAAATCACCCTATTACTGAAGGGTTGTTTAAGAGCATTTTAAGAGAAGATGGAGTAAAGCAGCAGAGGTTGTACAGTGACTAAAGGATCTGTGTTTGTGGTGAACCGGTCCAGGCTTTTCCTCCTGCTTCAAAGGCTGTGGGCTGGTGCCAGTCGCTCTAACCAAGACCAGATGGAGCTCACTACATCACTGCTCCTGAGGTGGCCACACTAATAATAATAACACTGTCTCCTACTGCAATCTGCTCAGCCCTCACTAAATGTTCCTCTTGTAATTACAGGCAGAGATCTAGTTAAGGCTGTAGTCGACAAATGAAAGTCTTGGTTAACTAAAGTCTAAAGTCAAGCGCAGCGAATAACCAACAGAATGACGGTGGTCTTAAAATGATCAGTATCTTCCACAAAAAGTACGGTAAGAGAAGCAAAAAGGCAGATTAAACTGTTCAGTCACTCAAAATTACAGCTCCATGTATTTCATGTCATTTCTGCAGTTATGCATAAAGCCTAATAAAGTAGTTAATCCAATGATAAATCAATTAAAACACCATTGAGTGATTAACTGACTAAAAAACTACGGCTACTACTCAGGATGCACTGATAACGGTACTGGAATTGAATATCAGCACCAATACTGGATCATTATTATAATTATCATAATCATATCGGTTCAGCCTACATATATCCTGGTTTAATTAAATGTAATAAGAATAACAACAAAAGAACAATTTGATTTTGACCTTGAACATCTTATAACATTTGAACTTTTATGCATACAAAGCTGTTCAGTAGTTATTTGACAGACAAATAACAGTTCCATAACACTATTGGATCTCTTGTGTAATAAATTAATTGTGTTTTAAGGAAATCCTAGTAAGTGGCATTTTCATTCTTTGCACTGGTCCTGGGTAATTTCCTGTATTGGTAGATACTTAAACTCCGGACTCAAAATGCTGGATCGGTGCAATGAGATATAAATGCAAGTCTGTTCAACAAAGCATACTGAATTTGTCATTGTAGATTAGTTTAATTTGAGATATTTATTGACCTAATCCTAAAACAAACAATGACATTACATTGCTTACTGCTATACTTTTACTCAAGCACATTTGTAGATGTGTGTAGTATCTATCCACTTCCCTCTAGTCTTATCTGTCTGTGGACCTGTCATTAGCAGAGACACTTCTTCACCTCTCTCTCTCTGCTTGTCTCTTCCTCTCCTCCTCCTCCCTCCATCCCTGTCCTCTCCTCAGATGCCGGGTGATCTGTGGACTCCTCAGTGGGTCAACTGCTCATTAGCTGAACCAGCCACTGCCCTGGGGGACGCCTGTATGTTTGTGTGTGTGTATATATATATATATATATATATACACACACACACTCTCTTATATCTGTATATGTGCGTGTGTGTGTGCACGTGTGTGTGTACACGTGTGTGTGTACGTGTGTGCGGGGCGTGTGTGCACGTGTGTGTGTGCGTGTGTGTGCGGGGGGTGTGTGTGTGCATGTGTGTGTGTGTGCATGTGTGTGTGTGTGTGTGCGCGCGCACGTTCAGATCAGGGCATCAGCTTATCACATTTCATTGTGTCTGGCTGACTCTGCTCTCATTATAGGACCCAGTCAGCGGTCTCTTAAAACTCACATTCCCTTTTTGCACACACCCATCAAAGCTTCAGCATCGAGCAGAGAAACAGCCAGGGCATGTGGCAAACTAAGCAAACATGGAGTGTACAAATGTCATTCACCTCTACACTGCAATTTCCAAATGAGTTATTTTTATTATTATATTTAGAAATGTTGTCATAATGACAATTTAGAGGTCTTATTTGATGCAAAATTGTCTCTTGTGAGCTTTTAGAGCCATGGTAGAATGTTGTTATCTCATCAAAAACATACCTGGAGTTGTGTTTTATTTCATTCACATGTTTGAGTAATCATGCATTATTAGGTTCTCTACATCTCAAAAGCTCAAAATGGTCTGATCCACCTTGTGATGTCATGTGGTGGTAGTTTTCAAATTAACAGCTACCTTTAAGCAGAAATGGGCAATTCCAGGGTTGAAATTATCCAAATGATTTTAGTGAAGGTGTATGGAGTTCAACCCCTTAACACCCGAATTTATATAGATGTATATAAATGTGTGTGTGTTTTTGTCTTTAAGCAGATGGCAAATTAAGTTGAGATTATTAATTTATTTTAAATAAATACATAAATAGAAATTTGGGTATCTTGTAAATTTTTGACAACTAGAAACAAGTGCTTGCCAAAGGTTCCTAGGAAGGTACTGCATATGCACTAACCGGCATTGGGGGAATGCAGCTGCTATCTTGGCTTTTATCTAGATCCAAATGGTTTGTCTCATATTTGTGACACTTGGCATTAAGGGGTTAAAAACACAGTGGAGCACTTCCTGTATTACCACATGAAATCACAAGGCTGTTTGAGAGAAGAACATGCTGGATTTCTGTGTTAAACATTTGTACATGAAACAAAACAAAACTCCAGGTATGTTTTTGATGAGGAAACAACATTATAACATAGATCAGAAAATAGCGTAATATGAGCTCATTTAAGTAAAATATAAATCCTCAAAATCGGGTATATGACAGGATTGGAAACTAAGAAAAGCATGATTTAAGCACTTTTGAATACATTTACTTATTTTGCCAGTCTAGAATTTGGGGGTTGTTTCAAGGTATTTCCAAATGGTTCCAATTTTCTTTTTCTTGTTTTAAGCCAAATGATCTGTACATGAAATAAGTTAAGATTTAAAAGTGAGCATTTTCTTACTCTTTGACTTTTATATTATAATCTAAGATCCTTCAGTGCCCAGAAGTGTTAAAGAATCACTGGTCGGACCCAAATATGCAGAGGGAAAAAAAAAGTATTTTATTTACAAAAAATAGTCTTGGCGGGGGGATAGATTCCAGGGGAGGCAGGACGGGTCCGGGTTGGCTGCAGATGGGAGGTCTGTGGAGATGGATGCTGACCGGAGGCTTACAGAAACTGGTGGTAACGGGATGAGGCTGGCTCCAAAACGGAATAACACTTAGTTGACGGAACGATCTGGCACTGGAGAGCAGGTCAGCAGGTCTTTTATTGCAGGAGATGATTACTTGACGAGGATCAGGAGTGGAGCTCAGCAGGTGAGTGATTGGGGTCCGCCCAGGAAAAACCAAATAGGGTAAGAAGAGAAGGAGCAGGGAAGGGAGGGGTAGGAGGGGCAGGATGAAACCCTCACAAGAAGTTCATCTTAAACCCAGTGTTTCCCATAGTTTCTGTTCAGACTATGGTGGTACAAATACTTTCTATATTTAATCATTTACTTTTATGCAATTTGTGGATCTTAAATGCCACTTATTGCCTCTATTTCATATTTCAGCAGTCTTTCTGAGCTGTATAGTTACTTTTTATGTTATAGTGCATATGGAGCAACAAAGTGAAATTTGGTCATGTGTAGTCCATGTTCTGTAGAATACGGGGGACAGTTTTAGACTATGGGAGGCCATCATAGCCTCTTCACTTAATGGTAAACTCTGCTTAAACCCTCGCATTTCTCACTTTCCTGATGTTTTCCTATATATTCTATTTATTCACTGAGATAAGTTTATAAGCAGCTTTCACAACATTTTAGTTCCCAGCACAGCTAACAACAACTAGCGCATGAGTTCACAACAAATAAAACACTGAATAATTAGATGCAGACAGTCTGATATAAACCCAGAGTGCTGATTTGATTCTGTCTGCTGGAACAACTCATCTGTTAGGTTACGTATGCCTTTATTGCCCATGTACAGAGAAATATGTCCTCTGGATTTCACCCATCCTTTAATGCTTTTGGGTCAAGCTGTCAGAAGCAGAGACACGCTCGGGGACCCATCTCCAGATCTTGAGCTAAGCTTGGTCAGGACTATCTTAGCTGAAAAAATGTACCTCTTAACCGAATACCTGGAGAAAACCCACCAGACACAGGAGATGCATACAAACTCTGAACTGAGATGCCCGGGGATTGAACATGAAACATTTTTGCTGTGAGGGGAGAATACTAGACACTCAGTCTTCATGCCAATTTTACTCCCAAATGAGGAAAAGCCTGGTTTCCTTATTTATAACATGGTAATTTCATTTGAATAATACAAAAGAAAAGCAGTACCTAATAATGTTTAGTAATTTTTTGAACACGTTATATTACACCAAAATCTGCAACAATACTAATTTTATCTGTATGTTTCCATGACATTTATATATAAGAGATTACATTAACATATACAGTAATAGGTCAATAGAATGTTGTAATGTCCAACAATTCTGAGCTCAAGCCTTTTAACATTGAGATTCCTGTTTGCAGTGCTGTGTTGTAGCACTATCTCCACTCCCCCTAATGAGTCCCAGTGCTTCAACACACACGCACGCACACACATAATAACACACAGACACACACATTGCGGTCTGTGGAGGATACTGACTGTCAAAGCTCCGGTGCAGAGCGTGGAAGGAGGCCTGCACCGAGCGGCCGGCCTCTCTGATCAGCCCCTCCGTCTCCCGCGTGCTCAGACCGGCCAGGTTCTCCTCCATCGCACTGGTGCAGCAGGTGGGGCCCTGGGGACACATGCGCAAGTGCTCACCTGGAACACAACACACACAGAGAGAGAGAGAGAGGTCAGTTTGTATTACAGTGTGGGTCATAGATTTAATCATTCATTTCAGGGTTATTGGGGAAACTTGGTAGTAACAGGTAGATGTGGATTTTTTTTTCTTTTCAAATATAACATCTGAACACTAATCAAAAAAAGTTTGCAAAAAGAGATTATAAATAGATGCATATAGTCTTTTAATAGGTGTTTAAAGTGATATTTCTGGACTGTAGTGGTTCATTTTATGGTCCATTCACTTTTTATTTGATAATTGAACCTCAACGTAGAAATGTCACAGTCTGATGGACAGGTAAATTAGATAATACATATTCATTTACATTACGCTTTTAACACCTATTTCAGTTGAAGTATTTACTGTAAACTCGGTCTTTCGTTTATACAGAACAGAAAGTTAGTGCTGTAACAAAGTCATTTTGCAGAACAATAATCATTCCCAGAGTTGTGTTTTGTTTCATTCACACATGTTTAACACACAAACCCCTGCATATTTAGGCTCTTAGTTCTTTCTCAAATAGAAAACACTCTCTTCCACTTTGTGATGTGGTAATACAGGAAGTACTCCTCTGTTTTTGGATTATTTCAGTCCTGGAATTGCTAATCTCTCCTGAACTAAAGGTAAAAGCAATATTGATGCAGTATAACAATGCAGGATCACCAAATACAATGATATCATGACACGTCAAAGGGATAGTCTGGAATTTTGGACATAGGACCTCATTTCCTAGTGAGCCAGAGTGTTGGAGACATGTGGAGACACTTTTTAAAATATTCCATCCAGTCCTTGTTTTTGCAGAGGTCGCTGGTGCTAGGCTAGTGCATGTCAATGGCCATAGTTAGCCTGCCGCTAAAAACAGTCTTACCCACTCCACCCAAAGAAAATCTGTTATATATATGTATGTCGATAGAATAATTATAGAAATAAAACCAACTTTGCATTTGAAGGATTTATGTCTGAGCAGCAGCAGTGAGCAGCAGTGACTTGTACTTCCTGATTCCTATCTTACTAGCAAAGTAAAATTCCGCCGCTGCTGAGAAAATAGTCCCTCAACATGTGACGATTCATGCGATGCAAGGTTAGTTTTATTTCAAACATTATTCTGTCAACACAGACATTTACGTCGACAGTCTGGTGTAATAATAGATTTGCTTCAGGTGTATTGTGGAGTGGGTAAGACTGTTTTTAGTGGCAGGCTAACTATGGCCATTGACATGCACTAGCCTAGCACCAGCGACCTCTGCAAATGCAAGTGTCTCCACATGTCTCCAACACTCTGGCTAACTAGGAAATGAGGTCCTATGTCCAAAATTATGTACTGTCCCTCCAATATCTATATCTGGTAACAGCCCTTAGCATTTTAATAGATATACCATAGCAACCAAATGATATGGGCTGTTAATCCTGTAACATAATAACATAACATAATGCTATGGGAACAACAAGACCTTAAGATGTCATTGAGGCATATGGTCAATAACACGCATGTACAATAATAACCCCCACGTTAATTAAACAAACAAACTGGAAGGCACGTTCACCTGCAACACGGCACAGACCTCGATTAGACATAATTAGTGTAATCATATTCATTTGTTTTAATTATTCATTACACTGGAACATTTATTTTAAAATGATACTTTAAATGGATTACAGCATCTAAAGCATGTTGAGTTTTATTATGGTTAAGTACAGTAATGGATACAGATTGAGCAGCTAATTTCTTTAAACATAAGCATAATCTGTTTAAGAATTCACAACCTTAACATATGAAATGGTTTATTCATAATTAACAATATGCCATGAAATTGTAGGAAGTTGTATGAAGTTATATTTACATACAACTACACACAGTTTACATGTACTCATTAGTAATAATTAGTGAATGTGTAATTAGCTCCATAACATTTGCATATTATTTATCTATAAGCATGTGTTTTGCTTAAGTTCATTGTAACTTTTCTGCTGCTGCGTTCGTCAAATGCATTATCTGGAATGTTTCACAGTATGATATTAAACCTTTATATGTCCATGGAGAAAAGCAGGCCAAGTTACAGGTCAGATCTATGGAGAGGTGACCCCGCTTACAGTCAGAATGTTTGTTTTTCTAGGTCTTTTTGAGCTATACCTGTATGTGAATAAATGAAAGGTAGCGCTGTTTAATGTCATACTGTGGAACATTCCAGGTAGAGCAGTGACATATCCATAGAAACAAGCAGGTGACGGACCCCCAACCAAAAAGTTACACAGTGTACCTTGATGATTTAAATGTTCAGGGTGTATTTTGGTGTTTACCGAGGGAACAGGAAGCTGAGTCAAACATGGATATTGTGAATGCCAGATGTGAGGTTTAATGAGGCGTGGATAATTGGTGCTTTTCATTGATCTGACGCTAAACGTGTCTCTAGATGTTCAAAGTCATCTCCAGACGCCACACTTGCTATTTTACATTTGCACTTGTAAAAAAAAATGATAATCTGCAATGAGGGCGTGTAGTGTACTACCAGCCAGAATCATGACATAACTGTTTACTGTTCATACACATTATAATGGGTATGTGACAATTCCTCTAAGTATTTTTTAGGGCTGTAGTCAACTAAAGAAATTCTTGAACAATTTAAAGTTGTAATGTTTAACTTTTCTGGTGGAGAGTCCGCACCTGCTTTTCCCTATAGAGATATTGGGCCCGATCTTGCATGCATACTTGCATTGTTGGGCTCTGGAGCTGTTTTATTGTACTCATATATAACTTTTCCCCACACTCCGCTTTGCTGCCTGATAATGAGGCAAAGATTGCACACATTACCCACACTGGCAGTGCTTTTAAATGTCACAGGGGTCACAGATTGGTTCAGATGCCGTCACAGTGTATACGTACTTGTACCATCCCACTCCAGCCTCCAGCAGCGAAGTGCACCCCGACCTGGACACACTCCCTCCTTAGCGCCAGCACTAATACTAAGATTGGGGGCAAGACTGGGCCCATTATTGCTGTGTCTGAAATGTTTCACAGTATGGCATTAAACCTTTCTATCATTCATCATGAAGACTAAAGCAGGTCAAGTTACTGGTCAGATCTGCAGGATTCCCACTCTTTTTCACTGAGAAAATTTCAAAACTTTTTCAAGACTTTTTCGTGACCTAAAGTGAATTTTCCATGACTTTTTGGCACAACATGTGTAGAATTGAGCATAATGTTAGGGCTAAATATGAAATGTTAACCCTTTACACTCACCTTATGGTTTGGTATTATAGTTTGTTAACATTCAAAATACTGTTAGTGCATTTATTGTCGTCTCTTTTAAACAAAAGGTGCAGACATAGCCTCAGACTGATGTAGTTGTGTGACAGAGAGTCTAAAATTCCATGACTTTTCCAAAACTTTCATTGATTTTACAAACTTTTCCAGACCTGGAAAATTACAGGCAACCCTTAGGCAACCCTGCTCATAGTTAGAATACTTGTTATTTTGAGCTATAAAACCATCTGTAATTGAACAAATGTGAGGTAGATCTGTTTAATGTCACATTGTGGAACATCTGAAGCAAAGCAATGATGTATCCATAGAAACAGAAGGTGACGGATCCCCAACCAAAAAGTTACACAGTGCACCTTCAAAAATATCTTCTGCCGACTGGTTTGGCGACTAAAAAGGTGTGTGACAAAAGCTTTAAAAACTATTACATATCTCTATGTATCGGCACAACAAACTACACTCAAGACTACACCTGCACCCAAGTTCATGCAAATACTTATACTGAAAAAAAGTACTGGAAAACAATGTATTTATATAAAGACAGATTAAACAGAATTATGAGTTTGATCTGCTTTTTTTTTTAACTCACTCACAAACATTTGCATCTTTATAATCTAAATAAAATGATTACTTAACTAATACAAATTTTGCCCAATTAAGAAACCATTGACCATTCGATCGACTAAAAGACTACAGCCTTAGTATTTTTAGTTTGCCTTTACTGCAGAAGACACAGGCTCTCTACTCTCTACAGTGGGGCATATCTTCACACTCCACATTAAGTATTTATTACACAAGGAATGCTACATCTATAGACACAAGCTTTTGGAAAACAAAACTAGAATCTTTTGAATGTTTTCAGCCCTGGAATATTTGCACTCTCTACCAAACAAAAGGTAAAAAAAAAAAAGAATGAAAATTACTGCTTCATGACAACATGAAGTGGAATAAAGCATTTTGAGATTTGGAGCTGTAAACAGACTAATAATCCAGGATTGCTTGAACATGTTTGAATGAAACAAAATACAACTAAGGCATGTTTTTGAGAAGGTAACAACATTCTAACATGTCTCAAAGCTCACATGAGTCAATTTTGCGTAATATCGGACCTTTTAAAACCAAAATTCTCCCTAAAACTGCGTTACTCAGCATGTTTCTGTCCAGTAACTCCTCCACATCTTCTGTCTGACCAAACCCACAAACTGACACAGACGCACCAAACTGGAAACAATGCGCCTCTGACCTTCAAATCTATCGTATAAGGCAAAATCGCCCACTTCACTTCACCATTTCCTTATCCCTAAAGGGGGGAGTAAAAATAAAGATCTGACGTCGCTGGCGGACAGCTCGAAGGGCCAGTCTGCAGCATCAGTCTCTCACACGGGCCAGTGGTGGAGGGGTGAGTCAATAGCCCACAGCTGTATATGCGGGGCGTATGTGATGTGTGTGTTTGTGTGTGTGTGTGTGTGTGTGTGGGTGCTTGGGTGGGTGCATGGGTGGGTGCCTGGGTGTGTCATGGTGCGTTTGGGGGCAGATTTGGTCCGTGCGCCGGGGTAAGTGGAGCAGAAGAAAACAAGACTGCATCATCGCGTTTGCATGAATGTTTTATCGACACGGTCTGAGAGGAGGGAGGGGGGGAGAGGGACAGAGAGATAGATAGGGGGTAAGAAAGAGAGAGAGGTGAAAGAGGGAGAATGAGAGAGAGGAAGAGAAGGAGAT